AAAAAAAAAAAATAACAAAAAGTCCAAACATTACCAATGAAAGAAGAACAACAAAAACAGGGAGACAATTCTTCAAGGATAGAGGGAGAGAGATTATTCTATTAATCAAATTTTGTGTTTTTAGACTTGTATTTGGGTGTTTTGTGTATTTGTTATTCTTCTCTTCTTACATTGTTAGTCCCACTTATGGTGTATGTAATTCCCATCTATTGAAACCATACTATTCAGTATTCACTCACAAACAATAATTTAGTGAAGTTAAACATAATATCATCACAAAGTAAAAGCCAATTACACATGCAAAGATTACAACCTCATCCATACAAGTTCAGCCTTACAAAGAGAAACTCACAACATTTTGCTAACATCTCAAACGAGGAAAAGTCTCACAAGCTTACACACACATTGTTGCCGGTAAATCTTGTAGCTTTAGCTCGAATGGAAAAGGAGCAAATGATTTTAGTTATCAAAAGTTATCTCGTCGGATTTGATAAGCAAATAGGAAAATTCTAAACCTACGGAGATTGTTTCAGTTTGGTCTGAGGAATATTGGCCAGCGATGCTTTTATTTTCTCCTCAGAAAACGCTAAGTCAACAAGTCCCCCTTGCAGATACTTCTCATAAGCCGGCAAATCAAAATGGCCGTGTCCACACATTGCCATGAGAATAACTTTCGGTACGCCCGTCTCCTTGCAATGAAGAGCTTCCCTTATGGTGGCAGCTATTGCATGAGTTGGTTCGGGAGCTGGAATTAAACCCTCAGACCTAGCAAACTGTATTGCTCCTGAACAAACAATAAAAAACGTTCGACTCTTTTAGATTACTCGACACCTAACAAGTAGATAACAAAAAAAATAGTGGTTTTCAGTAATGATCGGTCAGCTTGTGCTCATAGCAATCAGAAGGTCAAGTAGTCAAGTTTAGGCAAGAGCCTGTCGGGTCAAAGTAAAACGGTTGGACCCGGTCAAACGATGTTCAGGCCATTTTGCCATGGCCCAGCTCGGTGCATTGAATAGAAAATAGTACAATTTCCCTTAAGACTTGAAAAGCCGGCCTCAGGTCAATGAGGCTGGACTCAAAAATAACACAGGTATTTTGGTATCTATGTAACATTAGCTCGAGCCTGGCAAAATATTGGAACAACTCATCTCTACCGGTGATTATGTTTCTGGTTGACTGTATCAGAGAATTTAAAGAGTGCTTTATATAATTATGATCATTAGACTGACTTGTACAAATTCATTTGGTTTTTTAACATGAAACATCATTTTCCACTAGAAGCAAAGTTTTTGCAGAGAATTTGAGACTCGCTGAGATTAATCACTTACCTGCAAAGCATTCAGTCTGAGCAATTGCAATTGTTTCCATGAAACCCAATTCATACACATGCGAAATCAGTGGAGCCATGCCATGGTACCTCAGTCCCCCTTGCCAAGAAAAAATAAAAAATGAAAAATTAAGAGTATACAAAAATACAATTAAATAGTAAAAATTGTATCCTGAATAGAAAAAACTCGAAAAAACCAATCAACCCCAACAATATAACGCGGCTAAAGTGCATCTCTAGTCCTACTGGTCTAACGCCATAGCAATTTTAGTCCCAAGATTCTAACATTTTTTATGCAATTTCAGTCATTTGAGGACTGGAACTGAAACAAATTCCCAAATTTCTAGATTTTTTATTGGCTATTCAAGTCCTATAATTTAAATTTTTGTGGCAATTTCAGTCCTGTGGTTAATATTCGTTAATATTTGCTGACCAAGCGAAAAGTTGGAACCTTTGAACTAAAATTGCTATGGCGTTAACTAAAAATGCATTTTTGCCATATAACTCACATGCCATAATTTCAACTCACCAGCATGAATAGGATCCGGTATGAAATCATGCCCGAGTGTGTGCATCTTCATCAAGGGAGTCATCCCGGCCGTATCACCATAATCATAAGCGTAAACACCCTTCGTCAACGAGGGGCAGGCAGCCGGCTCGACTGCCCGAATAACAGGATTAATCTTACCATTAATTTTTTCTCTAATAAAAGGAAATGCGAGCCCCCCGAAATTCGACCCGCCACCCGTGCACCCTATAATCACGTCTGGAGTCTCGCCAATAGCCTCCATCTGTTGTATGCATTCCTCGCCTATAACCGTCTGGTGCAAGAGCACGTGATTGAGAACACTCCCCAAGCAGTATTTAGTGTCAGCGTTTTTAGCAGCAATCTCCACAGCCTCGGAAATGGCGATTCCCAGACTTCCCGGGCTCGAGGGGTCGTTTTTGAGTATTTTGCGCCCGGATTCAGTTACAGTGGAAGGTGAGGGGTGTACTTTGGCACCCCAAGTTTGCATCATCAGCTTACGGTAAGGTTTCTGGTCATAGGAGGCACGTACTTGCCACACCTTCAGCCGAAAAAAACGAAAGAGACGCTTTACAAAATGATTCTTAGGTAGTAATGCTCGGTTCTTCAACCCATTTTATTCCACTCAAGAAAGTCAGAAAATACACTATTGTTCATGTAATCCTTATTCTTTTGTCTATCTCAAATAAACTACATCAACACACTTTTACTTCACATTTCCATATATCCAAGTCTACACCAATAATGAACTCGCGGTTCCGTTGACCAATTATCTATAACCATAATCAGCTAATGTTTTTACATCGCATCAAATATTTTCATCTCACGACCCTCTCTCGTTTTATCTTTTGAGATTTATAAAAGGTGTATAAAAGTACTAATTAACTACATGTAGACTTTTTAAGAGTCTCCAAAAGTTCAAATTGCATACATCAGAACTCTAAAATTCTTACAAACACAGCCTTAAGAATTTCAACTGAATACTTCCCTGTAAATATAACTTATCCAAATTATCCTCTAATGATTGATTATGAAAGTGTATAAAACAAAATTATGCCCAATCACATCCTTCAAACAGCAGTCCAAGAACTTCAGAGACATTTTATGAAACAATTATACTGCACATTTTAAAGCCCCAAAAAAATTAAAAAAAAAAAAAAAGCCGCTTACTTCACAGTTGAGACCAAACAAGCTGCACGCAAAGGCCAACGAGCTCCCCCACTGGCCGGCGCCGGTCTCAGTGACCACGTTCCTCACCCCTTGCTGGGCGTTGTACCAAACCTGGGGCACGGCCGTGTTCGGCTTGTGGGACCCGGCTGGGCTGACGCCCTCGTACTTGTAGTAGATCCTCGCCGGCGTGCCCAGCAGCTTCTCCAATCTCTTGGCCCTGAATTTTCAATCAGTTCACGACGGAACATCACAATTGCGATCTTCGGAGCCCTAATTTATCCGCACTTGTTGCGAGCAGGCAACTAACCTGATCAGAGGGGTCGGGCGCCATAGACGGTAGACGTCGATAACCTCTTCGGGAATGTCTACAAACCTCTCGCCGGTGGCCTCCTGCCTGATCAGCTCGTCCGGGAACAACGGCGAGAGATCCTCCGGCTTTATCGGCTCGAACGTCTGCGGGTGCAGCGGCGGCGGAGGCTTCACAGGGAGGTCGGCAATCAGGTTGTACCATCGGCGAGGGATTTCAACGGATGCGCTCGCTGTTATAGCTTGTACCCGCGAAATGGGCGTTGGCCGGAGATGGGTTAGGGTTTTGTTCGGCGCGGAGAATGCAAGACGCTGATTGTCTCCTACGGATCAAAGAATAAATTGCTGAAAATACTTGGTTTTCATTGAAGAGAAAAGGCACTCAATGGAAGTGGGAATTAAAGAATAAAATTGATGGAAAAACAATAATTTCCATGGAAGAGAAAAACACATTCAATTAAAGTGTACCAGGGTGTAAACGAGTCGAGCAGCGATTCAATAATCGAGCTGGGTCGATTCAATAATCGATTCAATTAAAAGTCAACTGTGACTCGTTTACTAAACGAGCATGAGCTTGGACTTGGATTATTATCCAAACGAGCTGAGCCGAGATCACGAACAGACTCATTTCATTTAACAACTATAATTTTTTTAAAGTGGACTTACTATTTTTAATCCAAAAAAAAAAGGAGAAGATTAAACCTTTCTTTTTTTTTTGGTACAACAAGATTAAACCTTTCAGATCCATATATCATTATTTTGTGAAAACATGAAGAGGGAGACAAGGAAAATCATTGTCTTGCTTAACCATTTTCAGTTTTACATCACAGCAAAAGCAAGGTAATGGAGACATTAGTACAAAGAGGGCAGATTTCAATGCTCCCTCAGTGGATAATGTCGGATTTTAGCCGTTAGATCTAACACACACCTGCACGTATGCGTGTGATCTGACGGCTAAAAAATCCCGAGCACTCTAAAGGATGAAAATTATTCCGACAAATAGTTCAGACAATAGAAAGCTTAAAACAAACAAACAAACAAACAAACAAACCAACAAACATAGATGAAATTTGAGAAAAAAAAAATGATATCTACCTTTGAAGCAAAGTTGTGGTTTGGCAGATGTACGGAGCGTGAAGGACTGTGCCATTTTTTTTTTTGTGTGCTTTCGAACTGTAAGATTAGTTTATGAAACTCAGATGTTAGCTAGTGAGGTAAGTGAAGCCGACTTTGACTTGTAAATCATACTTGCCAAGTGGTTATGGTAGTACTACCGTGTGCCCTCGCACACCTAGCTAGGTGTGCTAGGGCACATTTTGCACGCGCTCCTCACTCCACAAAACTAGAAAATTAAGAGAGTGTAGTGCACATTCCTATTTTTCTTTTTTTAATTGAAAAATGAGACATATTAAATAAATTAAAATATCATTAATTATTTATATTAGAAAAATAAAATAAAAATACCAAAATTTATAATTTTTCATTATCTATAAATAGAGACCACATTTGAGTTAATGAATGAATCCCCGTAAGGAGTGAATGCACTAGTGATAGTCATACGTGAACATAGGTTTTTGAACACAACTAATTTTTTGTATTTTTCGTAATTATTTTATTATACTGACATATAATGAACATGTTACATAATAAGATGAATATTTTTGCAAATAAGATGAACATGTTACAGATTACAGATTGAAAATAATACATATTCATTTTATTTTATAACATGTTCATTTTATTATGTAACATGTTCATCTTGTTCTATAACATGTTCATTTTATTATGTATGTAACATGTTTATCTTATTCTATAACATGTTCATTTTATTATGTATGTAACGTGTTCAACTTATTCTATAACATGTTCATTTTATTATGTAACATGTTCATTTTATTCTATTACATGTTCATTTTATTATGTAACACGTTCATCTTATTTTAGAATATGTTCATCTAAATTTCATATGTGAAAATGTAACATTTTCATCTTATTCTATGACATGTTCATCTTACTCTATAACATGTTCATCTTACTATGTAACATATTCATCTAATTATAGATTTGAGTCATAATCTTCCAATAAGATAAATTAATTGTAAAAAATGATAAATTAATTTTGTTTCAAAAAATATCAAATGTTGTCTCTATTTGTAGAGAATGAAAATTATGAATTTTGGTATTTTTATTTTTATTTTTTGATACAAAATATGAATGATAATTTAATTTATATAATATGATAAATGAAATTCATTACCCAATAAAAAATGGGACACATGTCCCATTTTAAAAAAAAAAAACACTTACCTCCTTACGTGTCTTTAGAGGGGATGTAATTCACATAAGGCCCTGTCAAGATGTGCTGGCACACCTAAATATTTGTCAAGTGGTTAGGTATCATTAATTATGTAGATATAAATGAGGAAGGTACTATGACAAAAAAAGAAAGAAAAAAAAAATTGAATCTACCGTACCGAAATGCATCGATAGTCTTGGTTTTCGATTATGCATCGATTTTTTTTTTTTTTATACATGTGTATTTAAATTGATACGGTTTGATTAATTGTGTAGGAATGAGCAATAGTTCGGTTTAGCGCAAAACTTCATGAAACTGCAAAAAGTCGAATCTATCGACAATGTTTGTAACGAAACGTACTGTTTGTCTTGGTTATCGATTTTTCTATACGTTTGTATTTAATTCAGTACGATTCGATGAACCGTAAGAAACTCGAGAACGAAAAAAAAAAAAAAAAATTTGGATACCCGTTGAGTCAGGTAACTGTATCAAATTAATCGGTTTCTTCTCGATTTTGCTTGGCCAACGTTATGTAATAAGCAATAATAATTAGCTGTCCGACACCTACACGTGCTACTATCTTTATCAACAACCACACTCAATAGAATAATTAAAAATTATTTAGCTCTCTTACACCTACTCAATCTAACATTTCAACTCAAATTATTTTTATCTCCAATTCAACTCAACCTAAATTATTTATTTAATTTAATTTATTTAAAAATTATAATTTTGTTCCAAAATATATCAAGTGTAGTCTATATCTGTAGAGCATGAAAAAATACAAAATTTGGTATTTTTTTTATATTATTTTTTAACAAAAAAAAAAATACCCTTGTCCAATATAACTGAAACATGTGTCCCATTTTTTTTCCGGCAACTGGGTCGCGACCTGAGTCGCCATATTTAATGACTTTTTCCTTTTTTTTTTTGTTTTTATCTCTGTGACCCAACAGTTGGGTCACAAATAAACATAGTGTGATGGCGGTCAAGACTTCTAAACTACAATAAACATGATTGTTGTAAAATCACTTGTATAAAATTGGGTTTGACCCAATTCTGACTAATTTTTTTATAGTTGTATATTTAATTTGAATTAAATTAAATTGTATAGATAAATTCTACGTTTCGAGTAGTTCATGATATATTTATTTTCTCAAAATTGATATTATTCTACGAGTGATACACGCACAAAAGGATGGTTAGGAGATTCAAAGGGTCGAAAGTCATATCTCACAGAGGACTCTTAAATGAGATTAAGGCCCCGTTTGGAAGATAGCGGATTGAGGATAAATTAGCGGATTGGACTTAATTGAGAGGTTTGACCCGTCAAATCCGCTATTGAGCTTGTTTGGTAAATAGCTTATTTGATAAGCTTTTTAGGCCCAAAACTCTAATTTAGAAAAAGCTCATTAGATGAGCTTTTTGGGGATAGAGGATTCACAATCTACAATTTTAATTTAGAACTTTTTAATTAGTATTATTTATTTTACAATCTACATTGGTTTATGATGCTAACAAATAATAATATGTCATCTATATGATTAATTTATCTAGAAAAATGTAAAATTCATAACTTCTTGATCAATTGTTAGTAAATTTTTTTTTTAAAAAAATAGATATTTATAAATTACCAACTAAAAAATATTAAATGTTGTAATATATTATTATCAAAAGAATACACCCTAAATAATAAAATGTCTTTATTGGTAATTTGCAATGTCAAACAGGTATAAGCTTTCAGCTATTTACCAAACACTTATTTAAAAACCGCTAATGCAATCCGCTAGTCAAATCAGCTAATATAATCCGCTATCCGCTATCCGCTAATACAATCCGCTATCCGCTATCCGCTATCCGCTATCCGCTATCCGCTATCCGCTGATCGCCAAACAAGGCCTTAACTCTATTTGTCATAATAAAAAAGAGTTTGAGATGTCACAACAACAATAAAGTTATACACCAAGTGTTGGTGTTGGCTTCGGCCGCACACGCGTATCCCGCCAGTTGACTCGGCTCGGGCTCGTGCATGGGTTGAGGCTTGGGACTTGGACTTGAGCGACATTGGACGGTTAGGGCTGGTGTTGTGTTTAGGCCTTGGGCCCAGCCACTATATATATTTTGGTGCAAATTTATTTGCATTGTGGCCCAAATTAAAATCCAAACTGAGTTTGTTTTGGACTCGAATTTTGACTCAACCCGTGAGTGACCTCACTAGGTTCACTAGACATGGCCATGTCTTTCCACGTGACTGTCTTGCTGGTTACCGGATGTGTAACACCTGCAACCGTTTTGCAATTAACAACCATGAGTGGTTGTTAGTTGCTTGACTGTTACAAGGTGAAGACGAGAAGTCATCTCCAATTTTTGCTGAAAGTCCTATAAATAGGACATGTTATAGAGCAACAAAAGACTTACACGATCATCTAAAAATCTGTATAGTCTCCAAAGCCTCACGCATCATATATTCAAGTGCTTAGTTCGCGAATACATTAAAGTTCATCGAAGTCGAAAGTTGGTATGCTACAGCCTTCGAGACGTCAGTCATTGTATCTTTGGGGACGAGACGCCTGAACTTGTTAGCACTATACGTGGAGTTTTCGTTTTGTCGAAATGAGTCTTGAAGACCTCGTGGTTCATCTTTGCATAGAGGAGGACAACCGTAAGTCTTCGAGAAAATTCCTGATGATGGAGGCTCGTGCCAACTTGCTGGAGCAAGGCAAGTCGAGCAAGAGGAAGTCCCTTAACAAGGGAAAGCAATCAGCCAAGGTTTGGAAGTTTACCGGTAATTGCCACAACTGTGGGAACCCGAGCCATGGCGAAGGACTGCGAGAAACCTAGGAAGGATTGTTGAACATGGTCCTATGACGGTGAACTGATCGACATGGATATGTTGGTCGTGGTGTTTGAAGCCAACATGGCGGGTAATGCAATGGAATAGTACATTGATACTGGTGTCATTCGCTATGTTTGTTCCGACAATGAGTTATTTTCTGACTACATACCTTCTACTGATCAGAAGCTCCACATAGACAACACCTCCTCGTTTGATATGATTGGAGTTGACACCATGGTGGTGAAACTGACATCTGAAAGAACCAATGCAAAGAACATCGTTGAATTTGAAAGTGACCTGATGGAAATTACTAATGTAAAAAAGTTGGTACGATAACTCACCCAAAAACAATTACGAACTAAAATTTCACTTTTCAACATAAACGAATTTAGAAAGTGAGTATGATTAACTCACTTTAAAACTACTCACTCTACAACCTCCCAACCCCAACTATAACGTATTTTTAATTATGAATAAACCAAATGAGCAACTCCCACTTTCTCCACGATTAGAGGTGTTAAAGGAAAATTGAGTACAAATGTAAACACAACTCCCTTATCTTTTTAAAAAATCTCAGTTCAAATTGTGAACACAAATCCCTTCATAGGTAAAACTTATTTTTTATTTTATTCACAAAATATGAACAACCCAAATGAGCAACTCCAGATTACCTTAGCTTTTAAAAGAATGTCGGGCAGATCCTAACTTACGAGGGACAGTCGATAGCAATTTTGGATTGAAAGGTCCAACGGCTGAGAAACAGAGATGTATCATTAGTTCGAGTTTGTTAGAGCCGCCACGGCGAGGCCGAGGCCACTAGGGAGCGAGAGGATGAGATCCGCGCTCGTTATCTAGAGTTTCAGTTTTGATTAGTAATATGTACTTTTCGATTCCTAGTTTCTAGTCGAGTCGGACTTATGTTTAGTTTTAGAATTTCCGAGGACGGAAATATTTTAAGGAGGATAGATTGTAACGCCCAGAATATTAGTTACTATTTATGGAGCTCGACTTTATTTCC